ATTGATCAAACCAGTGGGTCATTGGTCAGATCAATTGACCTGGATATATATAAATATGAACATATAAATTTAATTATATTCTTCATATCTAAAATGAGTTAAACAAGATTCACTAAATAAGTTCAAAAATTATCCAATCACACTTTTACAAATTCATTAAGTACAAATAAATGAAAATGCACGTTATTACTATGTCAATTTAAATTGTAAGTTAGAATCTCTCTCAGTGGCGGAGCCAGACCAAAAGTTTAGGTGGTGCCAAAAAATTTTAACATATTAAATTATCAAGATATTTATCGTAATTATACAAATTAATAAAAAATTATTATTATGAATTTTAGCGTAGTTATTTAAATTATGTATTAAATAATATCAGATAACAGTGAAAATTCAAATGAACAATCGTTAATGATTATGGGTTCTCTTTTTCTGCCGTCGTTGTAGATAAGTTATCTGCAGTAAGCCCAATACGACGTCGTTTTGGGACGAAAATCATGGTGTTTTTGTAATTTTATTTTATTCTATGATTATTATAGTCTTTATAATTATAATTTTTTAATTTTTCAATCCCAAAACGACGTTATTTTGAGAGTAAATGCAGATAACTTATATACATTAAGTGCAGAAATATTTTTCTAAATGATTATATATCAAAACAAACATATAAAAAGACACTAACCTTTTGGGTAAGCATTTCAAACATAAGAATTTCACTTTTCTCCCATAGCATGATAAGTAATGAACCAAGCATTGTCTAATACTTTTCTATAAATTTCACTTTATAATTGAGATATTAACTATAAATTAAAGCATACAGACAACATTTAGAGTCAAAGGGATTCTCCTTCATTTTACTTTTCTATTTACAAAATATATTTTTGTTTGATTCTTCCATCTTTTCATTTCGTAAGCCATTGCTATTTCAATCGAAGTCTCGCAGAGCTAGCAAGTTGTGCAACAAGTCAGATGAAAAAAGGAGCAAGAGAGAGAAATCTGATTGCAATTGTAAGTCACAAATTAGGACTTTGAAAGTGATTTTAATTTATGGGTCAGGTAAAAAGATTTAGGTATTGGGTTTTATTTTTATGATTGAAAAACATAAATATAATTATATTTATTTAGGTGGTGCCAAATTATAAATTTAATCTTTGTTAATTATAATTAATTATATATTTACATATTATAAATAAAAATTTGTAAAACCAAGCAGGTGCCAAGGCACCTGCTGGCATAGGAGTGGCTCCGCCACTGATCTCTCTATAAGCATACCTTTCAATGACATTGAACTCGTATTTTTTAAATTTATCTATATTAAAATGATATATATCACATTCTCTTAATTTATTGTTTCGCAAATTACTTCAGTATTGGAAGCTGAAATTTAAGGTCATTGTAGAAGAGTATACTAGCAAATAAAATTACACAAAAAATTTAAACATTGTTTCTGCCAAGATGAAACAATTTTAGTTTTTTGATAAATATTTTTTAAAAAGAGCATGATCCGACCGAGTTTGGCCGATTTTGTCTGATTTTGGTCGGGTTTTGATCGGATTTGACCATGTTCGATGTATAACCGATTCAATACTTGACCCGAACCGATCATGAGACCAAGTCGTTAGATTCCGAGTCGGACCGAGTTTCATATCGTGGTTTATCAATTCTTTTTCCTATTATGCACTTTTTATGATTTTCAATAGTTAAACTTTTGAATTGAGCTTGTTATTTTTTTATATTAATTGTTGATCGAATGATCGTACTTAAATCTTCAACAAATTAATGACTAATAATAAAAAAAAATTAGACTTAACTGGTATAAGTTAATACTATCCACTGATTCACAAATCAGTAGCAATTTCCAAAATTTAATCGGAAAAGAGTAGTATAGGATGAAAAAGAAAAAAACCTTTGTTAAAACATACTTTTTTTTTTTTTGAAAACTATTAAAACATACTTTTATAACGACCATATTCTAGTAAATTTGACAAGCCCAAAGGGGTTGAAAGGCCAGCTATTTGATATCAATAATATTTACTTCTACAATATGAATCTAAAACCTTTATTTAAACCTTCCCCACCCTCTAATTGTTCGAGCAATTATGCGGTACCATATCAACTTATACACAACATTTGTATAAGCATGGTCTACAGACTGGTGAGTTGAATTTTGATGTTATCGGTGTATAAAATTTAAACTGTCTTCACATATTTACACAATTGTTGTGTTGAAAAACTTTGCAACATTTACATATATACTAAAACAATGATTTCTAAAATCATATTTAAGTGGTTTAGGACTCAATGTAACTTAAACAATTATGCAATCATACTTTGTTTTTGTATCAAAAAAAAAAAAAATTAAGTGACATAAGTCAAAACTTTAAAATCAACAAAAAGCAAAATCGTACCTTCAATTAATCTGTGTTATGTTCACTGTGTGATAAACTTCTAAAACTTTACATTGAGAAATTGAAGAACTAGTTCATGTCTTAGGTTAGGCTTGGTTGGGTCCAAATCTTTCTCATATAATGTAATGGGCTTTGAATATGTGACATGAAAAGTGTGCTTAATCCAAATATCTATAATTGCATTTCCTTTAAAATTTCTTACAAAATAATTCGAACTGAATGGTCCAGGCTGAAATAGGAATGGACATTCAAATTTCGTTACACCTTGGAAGAGATATCACAAATCCATTATCATATGAGATATGAGTTCCAACAGGTGATTGCAGACAAAAACACTGAGAGCAGTGAAGTCCATTTTATTCTTCCTAGCATCAGACTCAACACACGGCAAGCCAACTAAGAAGGAGAGATAATATAACACAGACATGGAAATATAACAAATTTTAAAAAATTATAAGATATAAGATATGACTCGAGTCCAGAACAAACTAAGTAGCAACTCTTAAACGGTTAAAACCCTGAAATCCAATATACTTAATGCAAGTTATCCCTCTCAGAGCCACCCCTAATGAAATCTTAAACTTGGTTGCGATCCCTAGACAAACATAAGAACTTATATTATGCTTAATAATCATGAAAATATAATAGTGAAAAAGTGCAACGTTCCCAACTCACTGGAATAAGTTTTACAGTACCAAAGCCTAGCATCACAAATTATGTATGACTGTATGGACTTCTAAACACTAAAAAGCAAGCAGTAAGTAGGTAATTCTTGTCCACTCTTCTCATACAACATAATATGCTATTAGAATATAAAGACAACAATCTTGACAGATACAAATAAAGAAATAGATACCTGATCTAACAAAAAACAGGGAATGGCATTTATCAATCGTCCTTCACGGTTCACCTCAAAGCAATCCTGTCTCTCCCAAGATACATTTTGGAATCTTAAGGATTAAAATGTGAGATTGAAGTCAGACATGAAATCTCTCCATCTAAAACTAAATGAACTTATAAGACTACAAAAACCTAATAAAAAAATTACTCCCAGTTAAACCTCAATTAGTGAAGGTAAGGGTGAGAATAATCCATGTAGGCAGTCATACTCTTATATATTTGCAAAAAGATTATATATTTAATGACTCTGATATATAAAACTATTAAAAAAGGTCCTCACCCACCAGCTTAAGCTTTTGAGTTGAATTGGTTCTTTACATAGTATCAGAGCCTCATGTACCGGATTCGATCCTCGCCGCCTCCCACTTTCTTTCAAGTGAAATTTCTTTGTTCGCACAGGTAGGTGGACCTGTGCATTGTCCACCCTTCAAACCCAGCGGACTCTCGTGTGAGGGTTGAGATATATAAAATTATTAAAAAAGTCCTCACCCACCAGCTTAAGCTTTTGGGTTGAATTGGTTCTTTACATCATAAAAATAGTATAAATTGTGTTCCAATCTGAATTTTTATTTATTTATTTATTTATAACCGATGTGTAATTTCATTGTAAATCTTCACTAAAGTTACCAATGTTAGCTTTTTATAATAAAAAATATTACACTTGCAATGTGTAGGTTTTTCCAGCCCAATAGCTCCTAAGCTCCCATGCCCAACAATTAAAGAATTAATGGCCTAACTACATGATTTTATATTATTCAATTGGGCCTCTCTCCTAGCTAAGTGTACATCTCGAACATCGCACGTGAGACATCACCACGTCCCATTCCTGAAAACAGTATTGTCGTCACAATACAGATCACATATAAAGGGTACACCCCCTAAATCCTTAAACACTCAGGCCCCCACAGCACACACACAAATGCAGACCTGTCGTCTTATCATGCATGTTTCTTATGTATTATTCATCTTCGCTATTTTTCTCTTTCTTTTTCTTCCTTCTGGATAACAATAAGGTCTTCGTAAATATAACATTTCACATACGGTTCAATTATCATTTTCCAAAAGCCAAAGCAACGAAAAGGATAAATTCTTATTTAAATTGGCTTTAATGTTTCAACGTTCGGTCTCAAAACAACCTCATATTATTATAACCTGAAATAAATTATAATTACAAAAATACCTTGATTTCCGCCTCAAAATAATATCGTCGTTTTGGACTCACTGTAGATAAGTTATCTACATTGACCGTGGAAAAAACAAACCCATTTAAATTTGCTTATTTATAGAAAAAGTTTCAGATTTTAATAAACTTTTAAGGAAAAAGACAATTATTTCTCAAAAGTAATAAGCAGTTATACGTGTGCTATAACTTCAAAATTGAAAAATATTGAAATAGAGGTTTGCATTCATCATGCAATATGAAAAAAAAAAAAAAAAAATTCTTACAGGTGTAATATTTTGTAAGACCCGCATGTTTTGAAGCAAGAAAAAAAAAACTAAGATACGAAAAACAAATCTCTATAACATGAGATAGTCACTTTTTCTACGACATAAATCTTATAAAACCTATTGAAATATACACGGCTCTTTTAATTTATTTATTTTTCATATTTTTATGAAGATTTATTATTCATCTTTTCAAAATCCACCTTACATATATACCAACAAAGGTTGCCATCCCTCTCGGTAACAACTTGATGCTTTCAATTTTGAAATTGTACCTTTTCCTCTACGTACCATCCATGTTTGTAGTTTGTACAGCATCGCATTCACAGCCAACAAAGCAAAAATAAATAAATTAAAAAAACTACAAAATGTTATAAAAAAGAAAAAAAACAACCAAACGGTTCGGATCTCTTGTACAAGTCACAGAAAGCCGATTAAGTCAAAACTGAGTCGAGCCGGTTATTCAAACCCCTCAAGCCGGGTATTCAAGCCTCAGCTCCATCTTGCATGACTCATTCTCAGCCGAACCACCATAATGATTTAATCCTATCCTCCTCTTCTTAACAGGAACCACGTGATGCGCACGTGATGCCGGTTCGAACCCAAGCGTCAGCTCTAAACCAACATGATCGCCAATCTCATCGGTTCGTTCACCGCTCTTTGGGTTCGACTCCGGTTCATCTCGGAAGAGGATCGAAGTCTCCGCTGTCTCCACCGAAACCATGCTTTCACTCTCTTTGCTCTCACCCTCCACCGCATTCGCCGCCTCCGACTGGTGGCTGAGCGACGACTCGTGACTCGCCGACCGGTTCAACACCTCTTCCGTAGCGCAACAACCGGTCCATCCACTCGTGATCCGACCACCATCCGGTTCACCCGAACCCAACCCGGTTCCGATATTGTTGTCCACATGTTCGCTGGATTTCGGCTTAGCGACGCCGAGAGTTCGCTTGACGCGGGACCGAGTCTTGACTCGTTGCTGAGTTTCATTTGACGCGGCGGAGTTCTCGTCCTTCGAAACGTGGCGTATGTCGTAGGCTTTCAGCGGTGGGCCCCGGCCGCTTGCGGCGGCTTCAGATGTAATCGGGGTGATCGGCGCGCCTCTCAAGACGGCTTCAACGGCGGCTTGACAGAGCTGCCAGCTCCCTGACCACAACAGACCCACCGAACCGTAAATCGGGTTCACTATTCGACCGCATGCTTCGTATAGCAACGAACGAAAAATCGCTGCAACAGAACAAGAAAAAAAATTAAACTTTAATACTAACTTGCTGTTTGGTTCCCGAGAAAATTAAAAGAGGAAGAGAAAATGAGAGAAAATGGTGCAAAACCTGGACGAAGATGCTCTGGGCCAGCGTTGACGAGGTTCATGAGGCCAGCACGACCATAGAACTTAGCAAGAAACACAGTAGCATTGGCTTGAGATTCTGGGCTCTTGATCCACTGCAAACAAGGTCTTATGCTGCAATTCTCACTGCAACCTTTTCTGAGTACCCTGCATCCATTGCAACTCATCCGCATTTTTTTAAAGACCCAATTGAGAATCCGAGAGATAGGAAAAGAAAGATGAGAAATTTGGTAGAAGGCGAAGATGTAGGAGAGAATATTGTGATCAAAGGTTAATGGGGGAAAGAAGGATATATATTTGTTGGAGGTGAGAGAAAGAGAGAGAGAGAATGAGCCACTGGATTTTCTGGCAGCTGTTTCTTAAAAGACTTGTTTTATAGTACTTAGTATTATAAACACAAACCATGGTTTCCACATTCAAGGAGGTTGAGGTTCGAAGAAGTAAACAAACCACTTTTTTCACGTTAAAAAAATTAAAAACCCACTCTCATGATAAGCGCGTGGACTCAAATTCCCAATCATAGGGACACTCATCCCTCTGCCATTGGGGCGTAGCTGACGTGGGATTACCCTTAAAAGCCACTAACCCACCACTGTCTCATCTCATGCAATTCGTGAGGGCGTCTTGGTTTTGGTGCCTTCGAAATTGCCCTCTGAAGAACTCGTATATTACGGAATCTACCATTGCCAATGGACAAAGTGAGGGTAAGAGGAGCAGTGGGTGAGGTACATGCATACGGGTACAAAAATAGAGGAGAGCAGAATGGGGCGCGTGGCGGGCACGATAAGGTGACAGAGTGCGGTCGAATCGCCACATATTGTGGAGTAAGAATCCACTGTCTCCACTCGGAAGCGGTTTTCCGAATTTTATAAATTAAAAAACAAATAAATGGGAAAAGCTCCTGGTTTTCGGGAATTGGATGGAAAGTGGTTTTTGTGAGAAAAACTGGAGACTGGTTTCCGGTTTTGGTGTTAGGACTGTGGGCGCGCTTATGAAAGAGAAAAAAAAGGGTAAAAGCCAATGGTTTTGGTGGAGAAAGAGAAGTGTGGGCGGTGAGTTAGATTTAGTTCTAATCAAATCACTAATCAGGTACTAGGAAAATGTTAATTACGCGTCAATATTGATATACTAGTTTTATATTTTTTGTTTAAAATTTAAAAAAAAAAGAATATATATTGAAATATATAGCAAAATTCGATCTAACTAGCGCCTACTATTTTTCGTACACATTTTCCCAAACCAATTGGCATTCTTTTTGTCTTCTTCTTAAATAACTTTTCGTATACATTTGATTTATCTTATATGTATATATAAAAAAAAATTCAATTCTTACCTAAATATTAATTTTTGACTACCACCATAAATAAGTAAAATTGTATAATGGATGATTCGCTTTTATATATTAAACTAGAAATCATCCATTGTCTTGATGGTGGTTTCTTTTTAATATTTTAAATTGTTTTAAATTAATATGCATACTTTTTATAATTTTAATTTTTTTCAGTTTATATTGTATTCAATGTATATTTTATTAAATTTAGAGCCCAAAATTCTATACACAGCTTATTGGTTCCTTTTTGCGTGATCTATTGAATTATTGTTCGAAGTTATCGATATAAATATTGAGATAATTATGTCAGCTGACGAAGATGACAAGTAACATAAGCAATAGTTTTACATCTTTAGGTAAGTGCTAGTTTGCATTGCATCGTTAACAGTTTTACGCGATTCTCTCATACCTTAATGATCAACAGACAACAGCAACATTGGTAGGGACGTTAAAATTACTTGAAAGTCACGTTAATGCAAAACTTTGTCAAATTGACATGGTGACAAATTCCGAGTTTCAATTGCCATGTAGCAGAACGAGATAAATTTATATTGTTCAAAAAGTTAATTTATTTTTAGAAAATTATTACTTCTAGCTCGGATGATCAAATTTTATATTTTTTTAATTTTATTTATCTTTTTGATTTTTACGCACTGAAAAATTATTTTTTTTAGTATTGTAGAGTTAAAATAAAAATATAAATTAAATAAAATTATTCACATAGATAAATTGTATCAAACGAGATACAATAAAGTATTTTTTAGAAAAAAAAAATTGACCAAATCTTCTTTGATTAATTGTCAACTCAAGGATCTCGAAAAGTTCTATAAAATAAAATAAAAGTACTTATTCGAACTCCAAAGGTAAAAATTAAGACTTTTTAAAGTTTTATAATAAAAATTTTAAAATTTTATGTCAAGTGTCACGAAATGATAAATCACCAAATTCGTTGCCTATAATATGTAGCATTTTGGCAAAAGTTTGCAATATATGTAACCTTTTAGGTAATTTTTTGAAAAAATGTGACAACATGGTCAGAGTCCCACATTGTTGACCCCCAAGGTAGGTCGAGTGGGAAAGACTCTGACTTGGATTTTTGTTATTTAATCACAAATTTGCAAATTAAAAGGTTAAAATGTGACCATATATATTTTCAAATAATGCAAACTGGAACGGGGGCGACTGCTAAATGCTAATAGCTTATAGCTTGAAAGAAAGGAAAGTACTTTGTTTAACAGCCAAGCTGTTTGCAAAAAATTGCAACAAAAACATGGGATTGGGAAGGAGCTCCGTTCCCAAAATTTGACTGTCTAAAACGGAGTTTCCTATTCCTTCTTAGGCTTCACCAGCATCCGAGGCTCACTCGACAGCAAGAAGGGGTCCACATTGTACAAAGGAATACGAAGTTATGATTTATCAACATGAAAAATATTATTTTCCTTTTACATAAGATAACTTCTCTCCTATTATTTCACTCCGATTTTTGTACCTCACATTTTTTTCTTCTTGTAATGGTGGGACCCACTCATTTTCTCTCTACAACATAAGATAACTATCTTATCTAAAAGGAGAATAATAAAACCCTATGAACATTTACACGTATTATCAATGGATTTTCTGTATCTCAAAATATAAAAGATAAAAGTATTTTTTTACACCGGAAATGAATCTTTTTATGTAAAAAAATGTCATGTGATTATGTTATTTGATCACAGTCACTCATTGATTATGAGATAAAAGAGAGAGAAAGTATATTTTTTAAATGAGTGGTTGTGATCAAATAACATGACCACTTCTCTAAATGAGAGAATCCATTCTCTTTCTACACATATATAAAAATGTATGAATCTTATTTTATTTTTCTCTTTCTTCTATTTACATAGCCCTACATGGATCCCACACATTTTTATTATATGTATATAGGAGATAATTTTATTTCCTACAATAAGAAAAATATCAAACTCATTATTAACAAAATACTAAAAAACTGAAAGAGATGCATAATAAAAATTATGGGAGAGAAATTAAGAGTTTTTTAATTTAAATTTTAAATAAAAAATACTAATTTTAACTAAAATGATCATTCTTTAAAGGGTTCGTTTTTTCTGCTTACTGCATATAAGTTGTCTGCAGTAAGCCCAATACGACGTCGTTTTGGGACGAAAATCATAATGTTTTTGTAATTTTAATTTATTTCAGGGTTATAATAGTCTTTATATTTATAATTTTTTAAGATTTCAATATCAAAACGACGTCGTTTTGGAAATAAATGCAGATAATTTATCTGCATTAACTGCAGAAATATTTTCTCCTTCTTTAAATAGGAAATCATTTCTGCTTCGAAAGTAGAAAAACTTATTTGTTGAAGAGAGATAAAAGGAGTGGGCCCCATCCTTATTTTTCTATTTCATTCCTCTATATATGTTTTCTCTCTCTATCAAGGAGAGACAGTGGACAAAAAAATATAAAAGTGTGGGTCCTACCTCTTTGAGAGTGAAAGGATATAAGTTGTATCATTTAAAAGGACAAACACTTTTTTTTTTGATAATTTTTCTCCTTTTGAAGCAGAAATGATTTCCACTTATTTGAAAGAATAAACATTTTTCTTAATATTTGTATGGTAAAATGCAAAAAATATAAATAAATAAAAAACTCTTTTAACTTTGCTGCATGTGCTATTCATTCTTCAATTTTTAAAAAGAAAAAATGTTTGTCTTTTTAAATAATATAACTTGTATCATTTCATTCTCATAAAGAGGATGAGACTCACACCTCTATTTTTTTATTCATTTTCTCTTCTCCATGATTTATCTGTTACTCTCACTTAAAATGATACAATTTTACATCCTTCAAAATAACACACATTTTTCCCATTTTAAAAATTGAAAATTTTAAACTTATCCAAATATGCAAAAAGATTCTTCAACTTTGATGAATATTTATATATTTCCTTCTATGTATCTAACATTTACTCCATTATCAGAGAATATTTATACTACACATATCGTACATACTTGAAATCATAAACTCTTTAGGAGGAGCAAATTTTCGGTACTACCGTCGTTGGTACTTTTTTATTAAATTAGAAAATAATTAGGATATAAAAAGAAATAAAGAAAAAGTAAGGGATTAAAATGGAAAACAAATTTCCTGTTTTAGTAAAAAGATGCACCCAACACAGTACAACGTAGTATTTAAAATTTTTTCCTTTAGCAGGCATTGAACCACTCGTACGTAAAGCCTATACAGTTATTATTTTATTATATGGGGAAGGATCCGTTTACAAAATTTTTTAATTTTTTTTACAAATTACACTATGTTTTCTTGGGAGAAAATAGTGTAACCAGTGTTCTCTTGGGAGAACATAGTGTAGTTTGTTAGAGTTTGTAAACGAAAAAGTTTGTAAATATAACATGCCCCTTATTCTATTGCGTATTGGTTTTGATTCAAATGAAATCAACATTAGATCTATGGCTTTTCACCTATTTTTATTTTAAATTTTGAATTTTAGTTCATCGTCAAAGTTTCAGGTTGTTTCAACTTTCAAGCGATTACGTGAAATATGCGCAACGTTTTCTATTAATGAAGTTAATATATGATGAAAAAAGGGAGTGCTTTTATTGCACATTTGGTAAAGTTTGAGAAATTTTGTTTTAACAATTTTTCAAAGCCAAAGTTAGTTTGAGGAGTTTTTATTTTATCTTATCCAATTTTTTTAATACTCACAAAATCATATAGCATGTCTTGATCTATCTTTGTATGGTTATGATTTCTCACATAATCATGTCATGTTTTTTTTTTAACATGAGAGGATCCAGATCCAAAAATAATAAGTTTTACACAAAGTTTTAACTATTAATTTCCGTGCATCTAACGATTAAGATTTATTGGGTTATATTAATTAATTAATCCAATAAATCTTAATTATTAATTGCACATAAAGAAACTGTTAAAATTTAGCATAAGACTTATTATTATTAAAGGAGTAGTGGGG